AGGTGAGTTGTGAATGAAGAGAGTGGCCATGAGAAGAAAGAAAGCAGGTTATGCAGGTAGCGGAGTCAAGTACCATTGCTGGCATTAAGGTGAGTTGTGAATGTAGAGAGTGGCCATGAGAAGAAAGAAAGCAGGTTATGCAGGTAGCGGAGTCAAGTACCATTGCTGGCATTAAGGTGAGTTGTGAATGAAGAGAGTGGCCATGAGAAGAAAGAAAGCAGGTTATGCAGGTAGCGGAGTCAAGTACCATTGCTGGCATTAAGGTGAGTTGTGAATGTAGAGAGTGGCCATGAGAAGAAAGAAAGCAGGTTATGCAGGTAGCGGAGTCAAGTACCATTGCTGGCATTAAGGTGAGTTGTGAATGTAGAGAGTGGCCATGAGAAGAAAGAAAGCAGGTTATGCAGGTAGCGGAGTCAAGTACCATTGCTGGCATTAAGGTGAGTTGTGAATGAAGAGAGTGGCCATGAGAAGAAAGAAAGCAGGTTATGCAGGTAGCGGAGTCAAGTACCATTGCTGGCATTAAGGTGAGTTGTGAATGTAGAGAGTGGCCATGAGAAGAAAGAAAGCAGGTTATGCAGGTAGCGGAGTCAAGTACCATTGCTGGCATTAAGGTGAGTTGTGAATGTAGAGAGTGGCCATGAGAAGAAAGAAAGCAGGTTATGCAGGTAGCGGAGTCAAGTACCATTGCTGGCATTAAGGTGATTTGTGAATGAAGAGAGTGGCCATGAGAAGAAAGAAAGCAGGTTATGCAGGTAGCGGAGTCAAGTACCATTGCTGGCATTAAGGTGAGTTGTGAATGTAGAGAGTGGCCATGAGAAGAAAGAAAGCAGGTTATGCAGGTAGCGGAGTCAAGTACCATTGCTGGCATTAAGGTGAGTTGTGAATGTAGAGAGTGGCCATGAGAAGAAAGAAAGCAGGTTATGCAGGTAGCGGAGTCAAGTACCATTGCTGGCATTAAGGTGAGTTGTGAATGTAGAGAGTGGCCATGAGAAGAAAGAAAGCAGGTTATGCAGGAAGCGGAGTCAAGTACCATTGCTGGCATTAAGGTGATTTGTGAATGAAGAGAGTGGCCATGAGAAGAAAGAAAGCAGGTTATGCAGGTAGCGGAGTCAAGTACCATTGCTGGCATTAAGGTGAGTTGTGAATGTAGAGAGTGGCCATGAGAAGAAAGAAAGCAGGTTATGCAGGTAGCGGAGTCAAGTACCATTGCTGGCATTAAGGTGAGTTGTGAATGAAGAGAGTGGCCATGAGAAGAAAGAAAGCAGGTTATGCAGGTAGCGGAGTCAAGTACCATTGCTGGCATTAAGGTGAGTTGTGAATGAAGAGAGTGGCCATGAGAAGAAAGAAAGCAGGTTATGCAGGTAGCGGAGTCAAGTACCATTGCTGGCATTAAGGTGAGTTGTGAATGTAGAGAGTGGCCATGAGAAGAAAGAAAGCAGGTTATGCAGGTAGCGGAGTCAAGTACCATTGCTGGCATTAAGGTGAGTTGTGAATGTAGAGAGTGGCCATGAGAAGAAAGAAAGCAGGTTATGCAGGTAGCGGAGTCAAGTACCATTGCTGGCATTAAGGTGAGTTGTGAATGTAGAGAGTGGCCATGAGAAGAAAGAAAGCAGGTTATGCAGGTAGCGGAGTCAAGTACCATTGCTGGCATTAAGGTGAGTTGTGAATGAAGAGAGTGGCCATGAGAAGAAAGAAAGCAGGTTATGCAGGTAGCGGAGTCAAGTACCATTGCTGGCATTAAAGTGAGTTGTGAATGAAGAGAGTGGCCATGAGAAGAAAGAAAGCAGGTTATGCAGGTAGCGGAGTCAAGTACCATTGCTGGCATTAAGGTGAGTTGTGAATGATGAGAGTGGCCATGAGAAGAAAGAAAGCAGGTTATGCAGGTAGCGGAGTCAAGTACCATTGCTGGCATTAAAGTGAGTTGTGAATGAAGAGAGTGGCCATGAGAAGAAAGAAAGCAGGTTATGCAGGTAGCGGAGTCAAGTACCATTGCTGGCATTAAAGTGAGTTGTGAATGTAGAGAGTGGCCATGAGAAGAAAGAAAGCAGGTTATGCAGGTAGCGGAGTCAAGTACCATTGCTGGCATTAAGGTGAGTTGTGAATGTAGAGAGTGGCCATGAGAAGAAAGAAAGCAGGTTATGCAGGTAGCGGAGTCAAGTACCATTGCTGGCATTAAGGTGAGTTGTGAATGTAGAGAGTGGCCATGAGAAGAAAGAAAGCAGGTTATGCAGGTAGCGGAGTCAAGTACCATTGCTGGCATTAAGGTGAGTTGTGAATGATGAGAGTGGCCATGAGAAGAAAGAAAGCAGGTTATGCAGGTAGCGGAGTCAAGTACCATTGCTGGCATTAAAGTGAGTTGTGAATGAAGAGAGTGGCCATGAGAAGAAAGAAAGCAGGTTATGCAGGTAGCGGAGTCAAGTACCATTGCTGGCATTAAAGTGAGTTGTGAATGTAGAGAGTGGCCATGAGAAGAAAGAAAGCAGGTTATGCAGGTAGCGGAGTCAAGTACCATTGCTGGCATTAAAGTGAGTTGTGAATGAAGAGAGTGGCCATGAGAAGAAAGAAAGCAGGTTATGCAGGTAGCGGAGTCAAGTACCATTGCTGGCATTAAGGTGAGTTGTGAATGTAGAGAGTGGCCATGAGAAGAAAGAAAGCAGGTTATGCAGGTAGCGGAGTCAAGTACCATTGCTGGCATTAAGGTGAGTTGTGAATGTAGAGAGTGGCCATGAGAAGAAAGAAAGCAGGTTATGCAGGTAGCGGAGTCAAGTACCATTGCTGGCATTAAGGTGAGTTGTGAATGAAGAGAGTGGCCATGAGAAGAAAGAAAGCAGGTTATGCAGGTAGCGGAGTCAAGTACCATTGCTGGCATTAAGGTGAGTTGTGAATGTAGAGAGTGGCCATGAGAAGAAAGAAAGCAGGTTATGCAGGTAGCGGAGTCAAGTACCATTGCTGGCATTAAGGTGAGTTGTGAATGTAGAGAGTGGCCATGAGAAGAAAGAAAGCAGGTTATGCAGGTAGCGGAGTCAAGTACCATTGCTGGCATTAAGGTGAGTTGTGAATGTAGAGAGTGGCCATGAGAAGAAAGAAAGCAGGTTATGCAGGTAGCGGAGTCAAGTACCATTGCTGGCATTAAGGTGAGTTGTGAATGAAGAGAGTGGCCATGAGAAGAAAGAAAGCAGGTTATGCAGGTAGCGGAGTCAAGTACCATTGCTGGCATTAAGGTGAGTTGTGAATGTAGAGAGTGGCCATGAGAAGAAAGAAAGCAGGTTATGCAGGTAGCGGAGTCAAGTACCATTGCTGGCATTAAGGTGAGTTGTGAATGTAGAGAGTGGCCATGAGAAGAAAGAAAGCAGGTTATGCAGGTAGCGGAGTCAAGTACCATTGCTGGCATTAAGGTGAGTTGTGAATGAAGAGAGTGGCCATGAGAAGAAAGAAAGCAGGTTATGCAGGTAGCGGAGTCAAGTACCATTGCTGGCATTAAGGTGAGTTGTGAATGTAGAGAGTGGCCATGAGAAGAAAGAAAGCAGGTTATGCAGGTAGCGGAGTCAAGTACCATTGCTGGCATTAAGGTGAGTTGTGAATGAAGAGAGTGGCCATGAGAAGAAAGAAAGCAGGTTATGCAGGTAGCGGAGTCAAGTACCATTGCTGGCATTAAGGTGAGTTGTGAATGAAGAGAGTGGCCATCAGAAGAAAGAAAGCAGGTTATGCAGGTAGCGGAGTCAAGTACCATTGCTGGCATTAAGGTGAGTTGTGAATGTAGAGAGTGGCCATGAGAAGAAAGAAAGCAGGTTATGCAGGTAGCGGAGTCAAGTACCATTGCTGGCATTAAGGTGAGTTGTGAATGTAGAGAGTGGCCATGAGAAGAAAGAAAGCAGGTTATGCAGGTAGCGGAGTCAAGTACCATTGCTGGCATTAAGGTGAGTTGTGAATGTAGAGAGTGGCCATGAGAAGAAAGAAAGCAGGTTATGCAGGTAGCGGAGTCAAGTACCATTGCTGGCATTAAGGTGAGTTGTGAATGAGAGAGTGGCCATGAGAAGAAAGAAAGCAGGTTATGCAGGTAGCGGAGTCAAGTACCATTGCTGGCAATAAAGTGAGTTGTGAATGAAGAGAGTGGCCATGAGAAGAAAGAAAGCAGGTTATGCAGGTAGCGGAGTCAAGTACCATTGCTGGCATTAAGGTGAGTTGTGAATGAAGAGAGTGGCCATGAGAAGAAAGAAAGCAGGTTATGCAGGTAGCGGAGTCAAGTACCATTGCTGGCATTAAAGTGAGTTGTGAATGAAGAGAGTGGCCATGAGAAGAAAGAAAGCAGGTTATGCAGGTAGCGGAGTCAAGTACCATTGCTGGCATTAAAGTGAGTTGTGAATGTAGAGAGTGGCCATGAGAAGAAAGAAAGCAGGTTATGCAGGTAGCGGAGTCAAGTACCATTGCTGGCATTAAGGTGAGTTGTGAATGTAGAGAGTGGCCATGAGAAGAAAGAAAGCAGGTTATGCAGGTAGCGGAGTCAAGTACCATTGCTGGCATTAAGGTGAGTTGTGAATGTAGAGAGTGGCCATGAGAAGAAAGAAAGCAGGTTATGCAGGTAGCGGAGTCAAGTACCATTGCTGGCATTAAGGTGAGTTGTGAATGAAGAGAGTGGCCATGAGAAGAAAGAAAGCAGGTTATGCAGGTAGCGGAGTCAAGTACCATTGCTGGCATTAAGGCTCTCTGCTAGACGCACGGGTTAATCCTCGATGCGTCGCTTTTGAGAATTCTCAAAGCATCATTGCTGCCTTCAAGGGTTCTGACTGACGTGCTTAAATCCTGATGTGCCATTGAGATTACATAATCTCAAAAGTACGAACACTATGAAGAGTCTCAAGTGCCATTGCCGGCCTTTAGAGTTCTGACTGACCTGCAAGAGGCACAGCTGAATAATCTGTGTAGTTCTTGATAAGTTTCAAAAGTACCATTGCTGGCTTTAAGTGGTCTGACTGACTGACGGACCTGCAAGAGGCACGGCTTCATTGGAGAGAAGATCCGCCAGCTGGTTGCACTCCTGTGAGGTGGTGAGCGGTGATGAGGGGTGGTGCAGGGTGGTGAGGGATGATGAGGGGTGATGAGGGTGGTGCGGGGAGACAAGGTGGTGCAGGGCAGGGTGGTGATGAGAGGCAAAAAGGGGTGACGAGGGGTGGCAGGGGATGATGAGAGGTGAGAAGAGAGGATGAGGGGTACGTGACACTTACCAATGGTACGTGACACTTACCAATGGTACGTGACACTTACCAATGGTACGTGACACTTACACCATAGTCCATAGCATGGCACACAGTACGTGACACAGAGTGCATACATGACACATACCCTGGGCACGTGGTGGATGGCAATTTCTTTGAACCGAGATACGAGCTCCTGTGCGTGCTTGCACTCATCCCTCAGCATCTCCGCGTTCACCTTCCACTTCTTCTGCACCTGTGTGGGGGTGTTGATAAGGGAGGAGAGTAACACGTTTGCCTATGCGCAAGTGGCTTGTGTGTGTGTTTGAATGTGCATGTGAGTGCATGTGCAAATGTGTGCTTGCACACCTCCCTCGGCATTTCCGCATTCACCTTCCAATTCTTCTGCACCTGTGGTGGTGAGGGGGAGGGGAAGTGGCATGTGCATGTGTCTTTGCAGGTGCCCGTGAGTGCATGTGCATGTGTCTTTGCAGGTGCCCGTGAGTGCATGTGCATGTGTCTTTGCAGGTGCCCGTGAGTGCATGTGCATGTGTCTTTGCAGGTGCCCGTGAGTGCATGTGCATGTGTCTTTGCAGGTGCCCGTGAGTGCATGTGCATGTGTCTTTGCAGGTGCCCGTGAGTGCATGTGCCTGCACGACTCCCTCAGCATCTGCCGTATGATTCCAAGAGCCACATCCAGCACCACGCCCCGTCGCCCCCTATGATATGAACGCCCAATGCTTAACACACACCATGCCGTCTCACCTCGACCATTCACCCACACAATATCCCACCAATTATTATCCCACCTGCATGACCACGAGCATTGAATCTCCTTGCACGTGCAGCCTTGTGATGCCGAGAGCCAGAGCCAGCTGCTTGCGCGGCCCCACCACACCACCGTTAGCACCATCAGTCCCACCATTATCACCTGCATGACCACCAGCATGGAGTCTCCTTGCACGTGCAACCGAGTGATACCAAGAGCCAGTGCCAGCTCCACGCCCCCTATGAACGCGCGATACCATGCTGTGTGCCGTCTACTGGATTCCTATACGTCTCACCAATTATTATCCCACCTGCATGACCACCAGCATTGAGTCTCCTTGCACGTGCAGCCGAGTAATCCCAAGAGCCAACGCCAGCTCCACCCCCCCTATGAACGCGCGATACTCTGCCATGTTGCACTGCATGTGCCACGAGGTGATTATTGAGGCTAACACACAGCACATCATGATCAACACCCACCTTGCCGTCGCACCTAGACCATTCATCCGACATCCCACCCACCGGCATGACCACAAGCATAGAGTCTCCTTGCACGTGTAGCCTCGTGATGCCGAGTGCCAGGGCGAGCTCCACGCCCCCTATGAACGCTCGGTACTGTGCTGTGTGATGACACACGAGGTGACTAGTGGATTACCATACACCAAACTCCCCACCATCCGACCCACCTGCATGACCACCAGCATTGAGTCTCCCTGCACGTGCAATCTGGTGATCCCAAGAGCCAGTGCCAGCTCCACGCCCCCTATGAACGCGCGATACCATGCTGTGTGCCGTCTACTGGATTCCTATACGCCTCACCAATTATTATCCCACCTGCATGACCACGAGCATGGAGTCCCCTTGCACGTGCAGCCGGGTTATGCCGAGAGCCAGAGCCAGCTCCACGCCCCCTATGAACCCCACCATCCCACCCACCTGCATAACCACCAGCATCGAATCTCCCTGCACATGCAATCTGGTGATGCCAAGAGCCAGAGCCAGCTGCTTGCATGGCCTCACCACACCACCACCAGCACCAGAAGCAACACTAGCACCCTTCACCCACCCAGCACTCTCACCTGCATAACCACCAGCATCGAATCTCCCTGCACATGCAATCTGGTGATCCCGAGAGCCAGTGCCAGCTCCACGCCCCCTATGAACGCGCGGTATTCTGCCATGTTGCATGTGCCCCGCCCCACGCCCTCCCTCATGCACACCAACTGGTGGGGAGTGGAAGGGGAGTAGTGGATTCATAAGGAGAAGAGAGGGAGAGAAGAAGTGGGAAAGAAGAGGAGGAAGCAAAGGGGGAGAAGAAGGGGGAGGAAAAAGGGGAGAAGGAGGGAGAAGTGTGCCTCCATCCACTCCACGCATGGCGGTTCTGTTCACAGAGTCCCTCCAGCCCCTACCTTGCATTGCCCCCTCCCTCCAGCCCCTACCTTGCATTGCCCCCTCCCTCCAGCCCCTACCTTGCATTGCCCCCTCCCTCACCGCATTGAATCTGTTTTTTGAGAATTCTAAAAAAACAGTTTGAGAATTCTCAAAAAACATAATCATTTTGAGAATTCTAAGACAACAGAAGTATGCGTCCATCCACTCCACGCATGGTGATTCTGTTCACACTGTTCCTCCAGCCCCTACCTTGCATCGCCCCCTCCCTCTCGCCTCACCCGATATCCCGCCTCACCACCCCACGCCAAAACCCTCACCTCATTGCCGCGCTCATCCCACAACACAGACCCCGCGCCTGCCCGCCCCGGGTTGCCCTTGGATGCCCCGACAAGCCAACACCTAGCGAACGCACCTCATACCCTACAGCTCATCACACCCACCCCAAAGCCCACCTTACCTCTTGCCCAACCCCTGACTCACCTCATTGCCGCACTCATCCCACAACACAGATCCCGCCCCTGCCCGCCCCGGGTTGCCCTTGGATGCTCCATCGAATTCCATGCGGTAGAGCGCCTGGTGTGGGGAGGTGAAGGATGGGGGGGGAGTAAACAGCAGCAGGAGGGAGGGAATGCATGTAGAGCAAAGGAGGAGAGGAGAGAGGCAGAGGGTTGCCCTTAGTGGCTCCATCAACCTCCATGCGGTAACAGGCCTGGGGGACGGAAGGGGGAAGAAGTGAAAGCGGGGGGCGACCAACAGCAACAGCAAAACGGGGGAAAGGCAAGGCAAGTTGAGTGAAGGAGGAGAGGCAGAGGGTTGCCCTTGGAGGCTCCGTCAAACTCCATGCGGTAGAGCGCCTGGGGGGGGGTGAGGTGGAGGAGGGAAGACAATACCGTATTCGAGAGGATGGGGGAGAATTGCCAGAGGGAGGGTTGCCCTTGGAGGCTCCGTCAAACTCCATGCGGTAACGCAACACTGACCTGAGGGTCTATTTGCAAGCCAAGTGTTGCCACGCGTTGTTGCATGTCCTCCCCTCTCATCATCCCCACCGCCCCTTCCTCTACCACTGCTCCCCCCTCACACTTGGATCTATCAGTGAGAGACTGACCTGAGGGTCTATTTGCAAGCCAAGTTCTGCTACCCCTTGCTGCATGTCCTCCCCTCTCCTCGCCCTCACCGCTCCTTCCTCTACCACTGCTCCCACTCCCCCTTCCCCTGCCCCAGTTCCTCCATCCCCCTCCTCCCCATCCCTCCCTCCTGCAGCGGACCCCCCGCTTTCTCCCCCGCTCTCTGTGCTTTCTACTCCTGGTGGAGGGTTGGCGGTGGGTGGGGTAGAAAGGGGGGGAGCTTTTAGATCGACTCAAAAGTCACCTCATCCCCCTCCTCCTCATCCCCCTCCTCCTCATCCCCCTCCTCCTCATCCCCCTCCTCCTCATCCCCCTCCTCCTCATCCCTCCCTCCTGCAGCAGATTCCCCGTTTTCTCCGCCGCTCTCTGTGCTTTCTCCTGTTGGAGGGTTGGTGGGGTGGTGTGGAGAGGGAGGGAGAAGAAAAGATGAGAGGGTGTTTTTTGAGAATAAAAAGGGTGAAATCTGCAAAAACCTAGCAGCAACATTTACACGAGAGAGGGAAGCTAGGTGCAGGGTGTGAAGAAAAGTGTTGAAAATCACGTGACAGAAGCAGTGAAACACGCACTAGCAGCAGCATATTACATGCAAGCAGCAAAGTAGCAGCAATCAAACACTTCAATGCAACACCTACCAGCAGCGATACGGTCCGCATTCGCAGCAGCATCGGCAGAAGCAGCAACGGCAACAGCAGCAGAAACAGCAGCAGGGGTGACACGAGCATGGGCAGGAGCAGGTATAGCGGTCCTTTTTAGAGCGGAAGCAGCGGCGTGTGTGGGGGGAGTGGAGACGAAGACGTTAGCCAGGGCGAGGTAGGATAGGGCTTCATCCAATGTGGTGAAGCTCTTGTGCTGATTGCCCTTGAAATTAGTCACCTGAAAAGGAAAACACAGAAAAACAACGGAGTGGGAAGATGGTTTGAAATTTGGGAGATGTTTTAAGGGCTGAGAGATGGCTTGAGGTTTGAGAATTGGCCTGGCTTGGCGCCCTAAACAGTGTTTGTGGTGGGGGGAGAGGAGACGAAGACGTTAGCCAGGGCGAGGTGGGAGATGGCCTCGTCCAATGTGGTGAAGCTCTTGTGCTGATTGCCCTTGAAATTGGTCACCTGGAGAAGAGAGAAAACGAAGACAAAAGGAATGTACAGTGAGTGCACGGGGGATATGGGAGGGCGAGGTAGGAAGTGGCTTCGTCCAATGTGGTGCAGCTCTTGTGCTGATTGCCCTTGAAATTAGTCACCTGGGGATTATTCAGCACAAGGTATGTACAGTGAGTGCACGGGAGAGATGGGAGGGCGAAGTAGGAGAGGAGTTTATTCATCCAGTGCGGGGAATCTTGTGCCGATTGTGTTTGAGAGTAGTCTCCTGGGGAATATTCAACTAACGGTGAAGTGGAGTTTAAATGGTGGGATGCACAGTGGGGTGGGTGGATTGTCGGATGGATGTTGAGATGCATGGTGGGATGCATGGTGGGATGGATGGTGGGATGGATGGTGGGATGGATGGTAGGATGGATGGTGGGATGGATGGTGGGTGGGATGGATGGTGGGATGGATGGTGGGATGGATGGTGGGATGGATGACGGGATGGATGGTGGGATGGATGGTGGGATGGATGGTGGGATGGATGGTGGGATGGATGGTGGGATGGATGGTGGGATGGATGGTGGGATGGATGGTGGGATGGATGGTGGGATGGATGACGGGATGGATGGTGGGATGGATGGTGGGATGGATAGTGGGATGGATGGAGGGATGGATGGTGGGATGGATGGCGGGATGGATGGTGGGATGGATGGTGGGATGGATGGTGGGATGGATGGTGGGATGGATAGTGGGATGGATGGTGGGATGGCTGGTGGGATGGATGGTGGGATGGATGGTGGGATGGATGGTGGGATGCATGGTGGGATGGATGGTGGGATGGATGGTGGGATGGATGGTGGGATGGATGGTGGGATGGATGGTGGGATGGATGGTGGGATGGATGGTGGGATGGATGGTGGGATGGATGGCGGGATGGATGGTGGGATGGATGGTGGGATGGATGGTGGGATGGATGGTGTGATGTGATGCATGGTGGGAATGGATGGTGGGATGCATGGTGGGATGGATGGCGGGATGCATGGTGGGATGGATGGTGAGATGGATGGTGGGATGGATGGTGGGATGGATGGTGGGATGGATGGTGGGATGGATGGTGGGATGGATGGTGGGATGGATGGCGGGATGGATAGTGGGATGCATGGCGGGATGGATAGTGGGATGCATGGTGGGATGCATGGTGTGATCCCAGCTGCATACCTGTCGTTGACATTCCGGCCACGTCAGATATACTCCCGGCTGATGTCCTTTCCGAACCGCGTAGTACTTATTCTTAGAACTCTCTTTCCCGCCACTAGACGGCTTGGCCTTAGTCATTGCCTTCTGCGCCAATTGTGTCACGCGGCGGCTCGACAGGGCTTGAAGCGCGGAGACGAGGCGCATTCGCCCTCGCTTCGCTTAGGCCTGTCACGTAGCGAGTACAAGCTACGAATGTTCAGTGCGTGAGACGCGTCACGAAATGTATGCGCCTCGCTTCGCGCTCTAAGTGATGGAACCCCCGCGCTGCTGCGATCCCACCTCCCCAGCAAACCCTAACTTGGGTGTGACCGTCACGATATAGTTGCAGCTCTTGCTTCCCCAACTCGTGCGACCACGGACCGTTGATGGCTTTAGTAGCTGAGAAAAGCCACCAAAAGGGCTTCTAACAGGAGTACTTCCTGTTCGATCAGTACCCTAGGATGGTTGTGGCGGACGTCGCTTCAGAACGTTCTAATTTCTTCACCGCTTGGAAACGCTACCAATCGCATCGAGTCTAGTTCATGGTAAGCGAACTTTGACGCGCCCTAAGATGGTTCGCTACTTCTAACCTGGACTTCGCAAAACTCGATTGTTCCTATATATAAGATGTACACTACGTAATATGTTAAAGACATTATGAATGCAAAGTCTTGCTGCACTAGAAATTATGTTGCTCCGCTACATCTAGAATAACTCCTCCTAAATTAATAATGGTAATATACTTTAGAGCTTTTTGGGACCATAATCAATAAGCCATGCATTTATCCTGTTTAAATTGATTGATGCTGGATGAATCGGAGTGTAATAAACAGCCAACTTCGTATATACGCCCTCAATGGGGTTTAGCATGCACCTGGAAACTGAGAGCTGGAGCGCAGCTGCCCATCTTCCCACCACATAACTTCATAACCAAGGACATGCCCCTACCTTCGTGTCTAATGAAATAAAACCTACGACACGAATTTAGGGACGCACCCTAGCGGTTCCCTGTATAATCACTCTGTTCTACGTTTCTCTATAAGCACACCCTATATCGCCTCTTAGCACCCCGCAAGAGCATCTACGGACGTGGAGAAGGCCTGAAAAATGAGCCAACACCGTTGATGGTGCCGCGAACAGTGTCTCTAACGGTCCCGCCAATAGCGCGTCCGATTCCCCCGCGGAGACTCGTGGTGCTCGCTGCGGGGACCAGGTCCGGGGGGATGAGAAGCGTGCTGGTGCCCTGGATCGTGAAGTCCGAGCCTACCCACAGGTTCGGCACGACCAGAGCCGTCGGCAGCTTCGACCCGCCTTGGAACGTGACGATTGGCCGGCCCTTGGGGCCGCGCTTCGCGACGATGTTGCCCTCGATAGTGTCGATCTCGGTGCCGGGGGGAATGTCGGTGAGATTACGGAAGAGGTAGCGCGTGGCGATCGTGTTGTAAGAGAGAATCGTCGACTGTTGGTCCTTGGTGTAACTCCGAAGCGCCGCGATGTTCGCCGGAAGCAAGATGGTTATGTCCGTTAGAGGGATCTTCGATTTTACTGTAAGATAGGGAAGAGACACATTATGAACATCGAGGTTAGGAAAGTTCTGGCGAAGGCTTGACGTAGACAGAAAGCGAAAGTTTGGCAGGAGGGAGGTCGAAAAGGGAGTTTGTTGCAGATAGGATCCCTTTATTGAGTGACTCGATTTACGGTCGCTGGAACTTACGATAGTCGTCAACGAATTTGTGGAGGCCTTGGTACGCCGGGTGTTGCGAGATGCCGTTGACGGCTCGATCGACTTCCTTTGTTCTGAGAGCGGAAACTTCACTGCCGCTGTGCCACAGGACGATCATCGCTAGGAGAGCTACACGATAAAACGACCCCATTGTCCAACGCTGGCTACGAGCGCGGAAGATAGCGAACGGGGAACTGCGACGTAGTACGTAATGTACGTAATCGCTCCTGGTTTGCGAGGATATGAGAAGTTTTGGAAGGCGCGTCTAGAGAGAGCTCTATCCTGAAGCCAAGCGGAGACGCAGCAGAGAGTGAGTAATGGAGAACAGGAAATTGGGAATTTGGAGAGGGAAATTTGGAGGCTAGGAGAGTTGGAAGACTGGGACGTGCTTGCACAATTGGAGGGCTGGAGAGAACTGAAGAGAGTAGTCGAGGTTGCCGTTTGTGATGGTGCTATGATGAATGATGATGATGCCACAATGCTGGTCAAACTGCTTTTGATGTGCGATTGAGAAATTCGAGTCGCGTGTGACAGATTGCGCTGATCTGACGCCCTCGCAGGCAAATTTCACCCGAGTCGCTCCGAGGAAGGCTCGTCGCAGGGCCAGTGAAACTTGCGTTGCCCAGGGTGTGTGCCTCCGCGCCTGAGTTCGTGAAACCGTGTTCCGTCCATCGCGCGGCTCGTAGAGTCGCCTGCGTCGCTTTGTCGGTTCACGATGGGTCACCGAAATTCGCCCAGCGAAAACCGTCGGTTACTCTGCGAAAGAATCCCGCTGAACGGTGAGACTGTCGGTCAGCAGCTGGCTGGCGTGGCTCATCGCGTTGTCGTTTCTGTTGGACGACGTTCTGGCGAAATTGCATTTGCCCTGCCTTGCGAAATTGTTGCACTGCACCGTGACATTCCATTGGCGGGTTTTGCTTCAGGCCTTGCGGTGGCCCAAATTTACCTCTGTACGCGATGTAAAGGGACCCATAACTGTAAAGGCGAATGCGAATGTTATATGTATGAAAATGTTATGTCATCTGCCATCCCAACAGAAGTGACATCGCCGCATCACGCCACGAAAGAGCATCCATGAATGCTGCTTCTGCCTGACGAGGTAGCCAGCAGGTAGCTAGCGCAACTAGTGTACCAACAATTCCTCGCGTTGTCACAAGCAGATAGTTTTCGCAGAGAATATCGCCATTGCTTTCACCTCGCGGTGAGGCGAGCCATTGTGTCGCTAATCGGTTCAGGCTGAGCCCAGCTGGCAGCGATGGCCGCCACGTTAGCGCCTGATCCTGAGAATTCCCGCACGGGAGGAATCTCACCGCTCAAGCCAAGTCCATTATATGCAAGACCGGAAATTCCAGAATCCTTGTGCGATTTGAGGACGGATTCGCCGTCGCTGTGCGACCTGCCAGGGCCGATCGTCGCACACATTCTATCGCGATCGCTCTGCGATCCGCGCGACGTTGTCGCCGTGAGAAGCGCCTGTCGCGGCCTTCGCGATGCAGTTGCTTCAGCACCTCTCCGGCTATCGCTTCTGCAGATGGATCGGGTTTCAGTTTCCCAAAAGGACGGAGCCAATGGCAGCATGCCACGTAAGTGCATAGTGGCGTGCTTGTCGACTCGTTGTTTGCTGCGAGGGGATCTGTGCAGCTTTTTAACGGGGATAGCTGGTGTTTGGTTTTTAGTGATAAGGTACACCTCCAGCGGCAAGCTACTTTCGATAGCTGAACATTAATTGGTTAAAATGCTCCGTATTCTTCCGAGTCATGCATACGTGTCTGAACTGCACCGCCTTTGTGTCTCCATGCTGAATCCATCCACGTCCTTACAGGATCTGCAAACGCCAGCTCAGCTGCCACGTTAGCAGAGCCACTTGCCTCCTTCCCGCTGCACAGCTCTACATGGTGCTCCCAGGCAGTACGGGGGATTGCACACGTGGCGCCGCTGCTGCACACGCTGTCCCTTGCCACCTCAGCAGTGTCCGATGCTGACGTGGCGGTGTGTGTCTCCTCCCTGACTAGGATGCAAGTACTTGTGCTGGATAATTGCAGAAAGCTGTGAGTGATCTTTTTTTTTGTTTTTCTTCTCCTCTTCTTTTCCTCCAACGTTTTTTCAAACAGCAGATTTATGAATTCCAGCGAAAGCTGATGCAGCATGCCAAAAGCTGTGTGTTCTCTAGGCACCTCAGAATCCACTTGATCTTCTTGCAGGAAGCTGTTTGTGAGGCGTCCCAAGTGGGTGGGTGATCATGTGGCCAAATGGCAAGACATCCATAGCCTGGAATTTTGCATTATCTAAACTCTCGAGGGTCTGTATGTTGTGCTTTTTTATTTCTTCTCCTCTCCCCTTCCCCTCTCCTTCCATCCCCCCCGCAACCAGCACAGACGCACTGACGCCTCGTCTCGCCGCCTCCCCCTCCCTCACCACCATTTCCCTCCACCGCTGCTTCAGCTTCACACCCCACACCTCCCCTCTCTCCCTTTCTCCCCTTCCCCCCCTTCTACCAGCACAGACGCATTGGCGTCTGACCTCGCCTCCTCCCCCTCCCTCACCACGATTTCTCTCCACCGCTGCTTCGGCCTCACCCCCCACACCATCTCGGTCCTTCTAGAAGCTTCCAGAAAACCAGGCTCCGTGCTGACTGCACTGGTCTTCAGCCACGTGGACAGGCTCTCTGTCCGCCATGTGGCACCTCCAGAAACTCCTCAGAAGGAGCCATCTCCACGGGAGGAGGATGATGGGGTCATGGCGTTTCTTGGACTCGCTCAGAAGAAACAGGAGGAGGGTGAGTGATGGGTGGGTGGAGTGGGAAAGTGGCGGCTGGGGTATGGGGGGAGGGTGGTTGGGTGGGCGGTGGGTATTGGGAAAAGAAAGGAGGATGGGCTCATGTCGTTTCTTGGTCTGACTCACAAGAGAAAGGAGGAGGGTGAGTGGTGGGGGGAACGGGAGGTGGAGGAGGGGGCTGGGGAATGGGGGGAGAGTGGTGGGCGGTGGGTATTGGGAAATGAAAGGAGGATGGGCTCATGTCGTTTCTTGGTCTCACTCGAGAGAGGGGCAAGTGGGTTTAGGGTTTAGGTGATGGGGACTGGACGGAGTGTGGTTTAGCTCCTCCTGTGTACATGCGCTAAAATCCTTCCCCTCTTCTTCCCCTCGTTCCTGCACCTGCTCACCAAACCCCCCATCCCCTCCAATCCACCGGTCCAGCCTCCTTCCCAACAGCAGCGCTCTCCCCAGCTCTCCACCGCGGGGCGCCTCATAAGCACTCTCCTCTCGGCGCTTCCTTGCTCTCTCTCCTCTTTGATTGTGTATGCGCTGCCGTCGCCATCACCACGTTGTGTATGCGGTGATGTGCCCCTCGAGCCCCTCACCCCTCTCACCTCTGCACCGCCCCCGCCCCCCCCACCACCCTCACCCCTCGTCCACCTCCCCAGCCTCCTTCCGCAGCTCTCTCACAACCACTCCACTGCCCCTCCTCCCTGCGCTCGCTCTCCCTTCACCCCCTCTTCTTCTCCTCTTCATCTTCCCCTCCTTCTTCCTCCCCCCACCACCCCCACCCCCACCCCTCCACCACCACAGCCTCCTTCCCAGCAGCTCTCTCGCAACCACTCCACTGCCCCTCCTCCCTGCGTTCTCTATCCCTCTCCCCCTCATTCTTCCCCTCTTCTTCCCCTCTTCTTCCCCTCGTTCGTCCCCCCACACCCCAATCACACCAGCCTCCATCCCAGCAGCACTATCTCAAGTGCTCCAACGCCCCTCCGCCCTCCGCTCCCTCTCGCTGCACTCCTGCCAAGCCCTCTCTGCCAAAGCGTTGCAGCTGCTGGTGAGTGGAGGATTCTCAGCCAGAGCGTAGTATGAAGCAGAGTGTTGGGTGTCTAGTTCTCTCTCTAGCCTCCTCCTTGTGCTCCCTCTCGCTACACTCCTGCCAAGCCCTCTCTGCCAAAGCGCTGCAGCTGCTGGTGAGTGGCAGGGAAGGGAGAGTGTGAGGGGACTAGCTTGTGGTGTAGTGAGCCTGAGCCACCTGGAGCTAGCTGTGAGTAAAGAGTGTGAAATTCAAATGTACAGCCGTTGGGTAAAGAGTGTGGAATTCAAATGTACAGCCGTTGGGTAAAGAGTGTGGAATTCAAATGTACAGCCGTTGAGTAAAGAGTGTGGAATTCAAATGTACAGCCGTTGGGTAAAGAGTGTGAAATTCAAATGTACAGCCGTTGGGTAAAGAGTGTGGAATTCAAATGTACAGCCGTTGGGTAAAGAGTGTGGAATTCAAATGTACAGCCGTTGAGTAAAGAGTGTGGAATTCAAATGTACAGCCGTTGGGTAAAGAGTGTGGAATTCAAATGTACAGCCGTTGGGTAAAGAGTGTGAAATTCAAATGTACAGCCGTTGGGTAAAGAGTGTGGAATTCAAATGTACAGCCGTTGGGTAAAGAGTGTGGAATTCAAATGTACAGCCGTTGAGTAAAGAGTGTGGAATTCAAATGTACAGCCGTTGGGTAAAGAGTGTGGAATTCAAATGTACAGCCGTTAGGGTAAAGAGTGTGGAATTCAAATGTACAGCCGTTAAGTAAAGAGTGTGGAATTCAAATGTACAGCCGTTGGGTAAAGAGTGTGGAATTCAAATGTACAGCCGTTGGGTAAAGAGTGTGGAATTCAAATGTACAGCCGTTGGGTAAAGAGTGTGGAATTCAAATGTACAGCCGTTGGGTAAAGAGTGTGGAATTCAAATGTACAGCCGTTGGGTAAAGAGTGTGGAATTCAAATGTACAGCCGTTGGGTAAAGAGTGTGGAATTCAAATGTACAGCCGTTGGGTAAAGAGTGTGGAATTCAAATGTACAGCCGTTGGGTAAAGAGTGTGGAATTCAAATGTACAGCCGTTGGGTAAAGAGTGTGAAGTTCAAATGTACAGCCGTTGGGTAAAGAGTGTGGAATTCAAATGTACAGCCGTTGGGTAAAGAGTGTGGAATTCAAATGTACAGCCGTTGAGTAAAGACTGTGGAATTCAAATGTACAGCCGTTGGGTAAAGAGTGTGGAATTCAAATGTACAGCCGTTGGGTAAAGAGTGTGGAATTCAAATATACAGCCGTTGGGTAAAGAGTGTGGAATTCAAATGTACAGCTGTTGGGTAAAGAGTGTGGAATTCAAATGTACAGCCGTTGAGTAAAGAGTGTGGAATTCAAATGTACAGCCGTTGGGTAAAGAGTGTGGAATTCAAATGTACAGCCGTTGGGTAAAGAGTGTGGAATTCAAATGTACAGCCGTTGGGTAAAGAGTGTGGAATTCAAATGTACAGCCGTTGGGTAAAGAGTGTGGAATTCAAATGTACAGCCGCTGGGTAAAGAGTGTGGAATTCAAATGTACAGCCGTTGGGTAAAGAGTGTGGAATTCAAATGTACAGCCGTTGGGTAAAGAGTGTGGAATTCAAATGAACAGCCGTTGGGTAAAGAGTGTGGAATTCAAATGTACAGCCGTTGGGTAAAGAGTGTGGAATTCAAATGTACAGCCGTTGGGTAAAGAGTGTGGAATTCAAATGTACAGCCGTTGGGTAAAGAGTGTGAAATTCAAATGTACAGCCGTTGGGTAAAGAGTGTGAAATTCAATTGTACAGCCGTTGGGTAAAGAGTGTGGAATTCAAATGTACAGCCGTTGGGTAAAGAGTGTGAAATTCAAATGTACAGCCATTGGGTAAAGAGTGTGAAATTCAAATGTACAGCCGTTGGGTAAAGAGTGTGAAATTCAAATGTACAGCCGTTGGGTAAAGAGTGTGGAATTCAAATGTACAGCCGTTGGGTAAAGAGTGTGGAATTCAAATGTACAGCCGTTGGGTAAAGAGTGTGGAATTCAAATGTACAGCCGTTGGGTAAAGAGTGTGGAATTCAAATGTACAGCCGTTGAGTAAAGAGTGTGGAATTCAAATGTACAGCCGTTGGGTAAAGAGTGTGAAATTCAAATGTACAGCCGCTGGGTAAAGAGTGTGGAATTCAAATGTACAGCCGTTGGGTAAAGAGTGTGGAATTCAAATGTACAGCCGTTGGGTAAAGAGTGTGGAATTCAAATGTACAGCCGCTGGGTAAAGAGTGTGGAATTCAAATGTACAGCCGTTGGGTAAAGAGTGTGGAATTCAAATGTACAGCCGTTGGGTAAAGAGTGTGGAATTCAAATGTACAGCCGTTGGGTAAAGAGTGTGGAATTCAAATGTACAGCCGTTGGGTAAAGAGTGTGGAATTCAAATGTACAGCCGTTGGGTAAAGAGTGTGGAATTCAAATGTACAGCCGTTGGGTAAAGAGTGTGAATTTCAAATGTACAGCCGTTGGGTAAAGAGTGTGAAATTCAAATGTACAGCCGTTGGGTAAAGAGTGTGGAATTCAAATGTACAGCCGTTGGGTAAAGAGTGTGAAATTCAAATGTACAGCCGTTGGGTAAAGAGTGTGAAATTCAAATGTACAGCCGTTGGGTAAAGAGTGTGAAATTCAAATGTACAGCCGTTGGGTAAAGAGTGTGAAATTCAAATGTACAGCCGTTGGGTAAAGAGTGTGAAATTCAAATGTACAGCCGTTGGGTAAAGAGTGTGAAATTCAAATGTACAGCCGTTGGGTAAAGAGTGTGGAATTCAAATGTACAGCCGTTGGGTAAAGAGTGTGAAATTCAAATGTACAGCTGTTGGGTAAAGAGTGTGAAATTCAAATGTACAGTTGGGTAAAGAGTGTGAAATTCAAATGTACAGCCGTTGGGTAAAGAGTGTGAAATTCAAATGTACAGCCGTTGAGTAAAGAGTGTGAAATTCAAATGTACAGCCGTTGGGTAAAGAGTTTGAAATTCAAATGTACAGCCGTTGGGTAAAGAGTGTGAAATTCAAATGTACAGCCGTTGGGTAAAGAGTGTGAAATTCAAATGTACAGCCGTTGGGTAAAGAGTGTGGAATTCAAATGTACAGCCGTTGGGTAAAGAGTGTGGAATTCAAATGTACAGCCGTTGGGTAAAGAGTGTGGAATTCAAATGTACAGCCGTTGGGTAAAGAGTGTGAAATTCAAATGTACAGCCGTTGGGTAAAGAGTTTGAAATTCAAATGTACAGCCGTTGGGTAAAGAGTGTGAAATTCAAATGTACAGCCGTTGGGTAAAGAGTGTGAAATTCAAATGTACAGCCGTTGGGTAAAGAGTGTGAAATTCAAATGTACAGCCGTTGGGTAAAGAGTGTGAAATTCAAATGTACAGCCGCTGGGTAAAGAGTGTGAAATTCAAATGTACAGCCGTTGGGTAAAGAGTGTGAAATTCAAATGTACAGCCGTTGGGTAAAGAGTGTGAAATTCAAATGTACAGCCGTTGGGTAAAGAGTGTGAAATTCAAATGTACAGCCGTTGGGTAAAGAGTGTGGAATTCAAATGTACAGCCGTTGGGTAAAGAGTGTGGAATTCAAATGTACAGCCGTTGAGTAAAGAGTGTGGAATTCAAATGTACAGCCGTTGGGTAAAGAGTGTGGAATTCAAATGTACAGCCGTTAAGTAAAGAGTGTGGAATTCAAATGTACAGCCGTTGGGTAAAGAGTGTGGAATTCAAATGTACAGCCGTTGGGTAAAGAGTGTGGAATTCAAATGTACAGCCGTTGGGTAAAGAGTGTGGAATTCAAATGTACAGCCGTTGGGTAAAGAGTGTGGAATTCAAATGTACAGCCGTTGGGTAAAGAGTGTGAAATTCAAATGTACAGCCGTTGGGTAAAGAGTGTGAAATTCAAATGTACAGCCGTTGGGTAAAGAGTGTGGAATTCAAATGTACAGCCGTTGGGTAAAGAGTGTGAAATTCAAATGTACAGCCGTTGGGTAAAGAGTGTGGAATTCAAATGTACAGCCGTTGGGTAAAGAGTGTGGAATTCAAATGTACAGCCGTTGGGTAAAGAGTGTGGAATTCAAATGTACAGCCGTTGGGTAAAGAGTGTGGAATTCAAATGTACAGCCGTTGGGTAAAGAGTGTGGAATTCAAATGTACAGCCGTTGGGTAAAGAGTGTGGAATTCAAATGTACAGCCGTTGGGTAAAGAGTGTGGAATTCAAATGTACAGCCGTTGGGTAAAGAGTGTGAAGTTCAAATGTACAGCCGTTGGGTAAAGAGTGTGGAATTCAAATGTACAGCCGCTGGGTAAAGAGTGTGGAATTCAAATGTACAGCCGTTGGGTAAAGAGTGTGGAATTCAAATGTACAGCCGTTGGGTAAAGAGTGTGGAATTCAAATGTACAGCCGTTGGGTAAAGAGTGTGGAATTCAAATATACAGCCGTTGGGTAAAGAGTGTGGAATTCAAATGTACAGCTGTTGGGTAAAGAGTGTGGAATTCAAATGTACAGCCGTTGAGTAAAGAGTGTGGAATTCAAATGTACAGCCGTTGGGTAAAGAGTGTGGAATTCAAATGTACAGCCGTTGGGTAAAGAGTGTGGAATTCAAATGTACAGCCGTTGGGTAAAGAGTGTGGAATTCAAATGTACAGCCGTTGGGTAAAGAGTGTGGAATTCAAATGTACAGCCGTTGGGTAAAGAGTGTGGAATTCAAATGTACAGCCGTTGGGTAAAGAGTGTGGAATTCAAATGTACAGCCGTTGGGTAAAGAGTGTGGAATTCAAATGTACAGCCGTTGGGTAAAGAGTGTGGAATTCAAATGTACAGCCGTTGGGTAAAGAGTGTGAATTTCAAATGTACAGCCGTTGGGTAAAGAGTGTGAAATTCAAATGTACAGCCGTTGGGTAAAGAGTGTGGAATTCAAATGTACAGCCGTTGGGTAAAGAGTGTGGAATTCAAATGTACAGCCGTTGGGTAAAGAGTGTGAAATTCAAATGTACAGCCGTTGGGTAAAGAGTGTGAAATTCAAATGTACAGCCGTTGGGTAAAGAGTGTGAAATTCAAATGTACAGCCGTTGGGTAAAGAGTGTGAAATTCAAATGTACAGCCGTTGGGTAAAGAGTGTGAAATTCAAATGTACAGCCGTTGGGTAAAGAGTGTGGAATTCAAATGTACAGCCGTTGGGTAAAGAGTGTGAAATTCAAATGTACAGCCGTTGGGTAAAGAGTGTGAAATTCAAATGTACAGTTGGGTAAAGAGTGTGAAATTCAAATGTACAGCCGTTGGGTAAAGAGTGTGGAATTCAAATGTACAGCCGTTGGGTAAAGAGTGTGGAATTCAAATGTACAGCCGTTGGGTAAAGAGTTTGAAATTCAAATGTACAGCCGTTGGGTAAAGAGTGTGAAATTCAAATGTACAGCCGTTGGGTAAAGAGTGTGAAATTCAAATGTACAGCCGTTGGGTAAAGAGTGTGGAATTCAAATGTACAGCCGTTGGGTAAAGAGTGTGGAATTCAAATGTACAGCCGTTGGGTAAAGAGTGTGGAATTCAAATGTACAGCCGTTGGCTAAAGAGTGTGGAATTCAAATGTACAGCCGTTGGGTAAAGAGTGTGAAATTCAAATGTACAGCCGTTGGGTAAAGAGTGTGAAATTCAAATGTACAGCCGTTGGGTAAAGAGTGTGAAATTCAAATGTACAGCCGTTGGGTAAAGAGTGTGAAATTCAAATGTACAGCCGTTGGGTAAAGAGTGTGAAATTCAAATGTACAGCCGCTGGGTAAAGAGTGTGAAATTCAAATGTACAGCCGTTGGGTAAAGAGTGTGAAATTCAAATGTACAGCCGTTGGGTAAAGAGTGTGGAATTCAAATGTACAGCCGTTGGGTAAAGAGTGTGGAATTCAAATGTACAGCCGTTGGGTAAAGAGTGGTGAGAAGGCGCTCGTTAGGTGGCGAGGAGAAGAGCTGGAGGTTGTGGAAAAGGGTGTAACTTCCTCGTCGGGGGGGGAGTCTTCCTACACTCCTGCCAAGCCCTCTTCGCCATATCGCTGCAGCTCTTCCCCATCTCCATCACCCCAACCCTCTCCTCCCCGTCCCCTCAAATTTCCCTCCCTCTCTTCTCGCTCCCTCCATTCTCGTATGCCCTCAGTTGCCCTAATCTTGAGCTGCTCTGTCCCAGCGGATCACGCTTCCCCATTCTCCTCTGTCCCAGCGGATCACGCTTCCCCATTCTCCTCTGTCCCAGCGGATCACGCTTCCCCATTCTCCTCTGTCCCAGCGGATCACGCTTCCCCATTCTCCTCTGTCCCAGCGGATCACGCTTCCCCATTCTTCTCTGTCCCAGCGGATCACGCTTCCCCATTCTCCTCTGTCCCAGCGGATCACGCTTCCCCATTCTCCTCTGTCCCAGCGGATCACGCTTCCCCATTCTCCCTCACGCCCGCCCCCTTCCCTTTGCTCGCCCCTTGCTCTCCCCTTGCCACTCCCCCCCTGCCCACGCCAGGCCCTTAGTTGCCCCCTGCCCACGCCAACTCGAGCTCCTTTGCCTGAAGGGCTCCTGCTTCCCTATCCTCCCTCACGTCCCTCCCCCTGCCCTCCCTCTCCCTCCCTTCCCCATCCTCCCTCACGTCCCTCCCCCTGCCCTCCCTCTCCCTCCCTTCCCCATCCTCCCTCACGTCCCTCCCCCTGCCCTCCCTCTCCCTCCCTTCCCCATCCTCCCTCACGTCCCTCCCCCTGCCCTCCCTCTCCCTCCCTTCCCCATCCTCCCTCACGCCCTCCCTCCCTCCCTTCCTACACCCTTGCTACTTTCCCAACCCACCACCACGCTTGCAGGCCCTCAGTTGCCCCCATCTCAAGCTCCCGCCCTCCTCTTTCCCTCCCCCACCCTCACTACTCCCCTATCAACACGCCAGGCCCTCAGCTGCCCAATCTGGAGCTGCTCTGTCTCGGAGAATCCTGCTTCTTCATCCACTCTCACGCCCTCCCCCTCTGCTTTCATCTCTCCTCACTCTCCCCTTGCCACTCTCCCCCTGCCCCCGCCAGGCCCTCAGCTGCCCCCATCTCGAGGTCCTCTGTCTCGGAGGCTCCTGCTTCCCCATCCTCCCTCACGCCCGCCCCCTTCCTTTTACTCTTCCCTCGCAACCCCCCCCCTGCCCACGCCAGGCCCTCAGTTGCCCCCATCTCGAGCTCCTCTGTCTCGGCGGTTCCTGCTTCCCCATTCTCCCCGACGCCCTCCCCTCTCCCTCCCCACTCCCTCTCTCTCTCCCCCAACTTCGCCACTCCCCCGCCCCTCCTGCAGGCCCTCAGCTGCCCCAATCTCGAGCTGCTGTGTCTCGGCGGATCCTGCTTCCCCATTCTCCCTGATGCTCTCCCCCTGCCCTCCCTCTCCCGCCTCCTCCTCTCACTCCCTCCCCGCCTCGTCCCGCCCTCCCTGCTCTCCCGCCTGGCGTCTGGCTCCCTTTTGCAAAGCGCAGCAGTCGCAGAAGCATCAGCAGCAGGGGGAGGGGCGGCAGAAAGAGCAACAGCAGATGCAGCAACAGCAGATGTAACAGAAAGAGCAGTAGCAGCAGATGCAACAGCAGCAGCAGGAGTAGACGCAGCAGAAAGAGCAGCAGCAGGGGCAACAACAGCAGCGGCAGGGGGAGTAGCAGCAGCAGCAGCAGCAGCAGCAGCAGAAATAGCCGGGGAGATGACGAGACAGATGCAACTGGGGGAGGTGCGAGCGAGGGAGGGGGAGGTGAGGCCTGGTGCATGGGGGGAGGGGGGGGCGCGGAGGAGACAGGTGCAGAGACAGGTGCGGCCAGGGGAGGCACTAGGTGGCGTGGCAGTGCTTTTGGAGAGGCTTCAACTGGTGGAGGTGTCTTTCTGGGAGAAGGGAGAGGTGGACGACATGAGGTGAGAGAATGAAAGGAACAATGGAATGGCCAAGCCACCTTACAGTTGGCACCAAACCACCAGACTTTCCCACCTCCCCCCTCTGCTTGGTGGTGTGGCGGTGCTGCTGGGGAGGCTGCAGCTGGTGGAGGTGTCATTCTGGGAGAAGGGAGAGGTGGACGATATGAGGTGAGTGATGCACACACAAGGAAGGAACAGAAGCCAAAGCACCTCCAAACAGGAAGGCCGTGCCCTGACTACCCTTGACTCTTGAACTAAGCTCAAAAGTGCTCCCGAAAGCTTACAGACGAGTCGCCTATGTGTCGTGAAGGGACACGCCTCCAGTCTAGCTTGCCAAGAAGGGAAACCTAGCTCTTAGACTGGAGGCGTGCCCCTTCACGACATGTAGGCGACTAGTTTTGAGGCGCCTCAAATGCCAAGAAGGGAAACCTAGCTTTTAGACTGGAGGCGCGCCCTTTCACGACATGTAGGCGACCCATCTGCTAGCTTTCGGGAGCGCTTTCAAACTTAGTTCAAAATCAAGAGAAGTCAGGGCACAACTTCTCTTGACACGTAGCCCATGTTGCCACATACAGGATGCTTCTCCTGGTCCTGGCCCTTCTCCTCGACACGTAGCCCACGTTGCCACATATGGGATTCTTCTTTAGGTGCTGCGTGATTGTTGAAATTCTGATGGTTTGAGAGGAGCACTTATCACTTATCCTTATCGCTTATTCCTTCCCTTCCCTCCAACCCACACTCGCTTGTTTTGCTTTCTGCTTGCAGGGATGCCATTCGCCATCTCCCCCACCCGCCTCTCCTCCTCGATCTCTCCACCGACCGAGGGGCACTTATTGCCGCCCATATCTCCCGTCATGCCGCCCGGATTCACGCCCGTGCCGCCCAGGGCGTCTCTCACGCTGCCGCCCACGCCCACTGGCACCTTCCGTCTTTTGTGGGCGCCTCAGGGCAAACAATAACAGCACAAGTGACAGCAGCAGAGGCAGCAGCACAAAATATAGCAGCACAAGTGGCAGTAGCAGAAGCAGCAGCAGCAGAGACAATAGCAGGGCAAGTGACAATAGCAGAGGCAGCAGCAGCAAAAAGAATAGCAGGGCAGGTGAGAGTAGCAGAGGCAGAAGCAGCAGAGACGATAGCAGGGCAAGTGAGATTAGCAGAAGAAGCAGCAGCAGAAAATATGGCATCACAAGTGACGATAGCACAGGCAGAAGCAGCAGGAACAATAGCAGGACAGGTGAGAGTAGCAGAAGCAGCAGCAGCAGACACAATAGCAGGGCAAGTGAGATTAGCAGAGGCAGCAGCAGCAGAGACAATAGCAGGGCAGGTGAGAGTAGCATCAGAAGCAGCAGCAGAAAAAATTGTAGCACAAGTGACATTAGCAGAAGCAGCAGCAGCACAGACAATAGCAGGGCAGGTGAGATTAGCAGAAGCAGCAGCAGCAAAAAGAATAGCAGGGCAGGTGAGAGAAGCAGAGGCAGAAGCAGCAAAAACAATAGCAGGGCAAGTGACAGTAGCAGAAGCAGAAGCAGCAGAAACAATAGCAGGGCACGTGAGAGAAGCAGAAGCAGAAGCAGCAGAGACAATAGCAGGGCAAGTGACAGCTGCAGAAGCAGCAGCAGCAGAAACAATAGCAGGGCAAGTGACAGTAGCACAAGCAGCAGCAGCTGAGACAATAGCAGGACAAATGAGAATAGCAAAGGCAGCAGCAGCAGAAAATATAGCATCACAAGTGACAGTAGCAGAAGCAGCAGCAGCAGAGGCAATAGCAAGGCAAGTGAAATTAGCAGAAGAAGAAGCAGCAAAGACAATAGCAGGGCAAATGAGAGGAGCACAGGCAGCAGCAGCAAAGTCAATAGCAGGGCAAGTGAGAATAGCAGAGGCAGCAGCAGCAGAGATGATAGCAGCACGAGTGACTGGAGCAGAAGCAACTGCTGTTTCTACTACTGCGCCTGCGGCTGCTGCTGCTGCTGCTCCTGCTGCTACTGCTCAAATCCCTTCCGTTTCTGCTCAAATCCTGTCATCCGCTGCTCCTCCTACTACAGCCCGGCACTTGTGCCGGCAATGTGTGAGAGCCACTCGCCCTGCCATACTGGCTGCCTCTCCTGCTCCCATGGCAGGCGAGTGCTGCTGTGCTCAGATCCCGCCTTCTGCTGCTCTGCCTCCTCCTCCTGCTGCTGCCACTCCTGCTGCTCCTGTTGCTGCTCCTCCTGCTGCAGCTACTACAGCCCGGCACTTGTGCCGGCAGTGTGCAAGAGCCACTCGCCCTGCCAAGCTGGCTGCCTCTCCTGCTCCCTCTGCGGACGACTGCTGCTGTGAGCTGGACTGGATGGGGGGATTGCAGGGGCAAGGTCACGAGACCTCGTGCTGTTCACATGGTAGCAACAGCAGCACAGCCAGCAGCAGCAGCAGCACTTTTGGCAGCAGCAGCAGCAGCAGGAGCAGCAGCAGCACTTTTAACAGCAGCAGTATCAGCAGCAGTGGCAGCTGCAGCAACACTCTTGGAACTAGCACTATAATCCCCTTCTGCTCCCCCTCTCTCTCCCTCCCCGCCCCCGCCCTCTCCCTCCCCCCATCCGCCCTCCTCTGGGCTCTCCGCTCCGCTGCTGGCTGTAGCAGTCTGCAGCAGCGCTCCCCCCTCCACGTGGCAGCTCTGCTGCAGGATACACGTGGCGCCCAGGCATTGGTTGACGTGATTGGGCTTGGGGGGAGGGCGCAGGGCTTGGGGAGGTGGGGGGAGTGGGGGAGCAGGGGGAGGGGGGTGCCTGCGAGGGTGTATTGTGGAGGGGAGGAGGGAGGAGGAGGGGGGGAGGGAGAGGATGGGGTGGAGAAGGAGGGTGGCTTCACTGAGAGGATGAATAGGAGGCTATGGGAGGAGTGGGAGAGGGAGGAAGAGGAGGTGGAAAAGGGAGAGAGGGAGTGGGATAAGGAGGAGGAAGAGGAGAAGAGGGGGGGAAAGGCGGAGGAGGTGGAACGGCAGAAGCGCCAAGGGGGGGATGAGCAGCAGGAGAGCAAGAGAGGCGAAGGCATGGGATTTGACATAGGGGGAGAGGGACGGCTGGTGGTGAACATGAGGGACAAGGCCGGAGCCACGGCTCTGTTTCTTGCAGCAGAGGCTGGAGATGCGTGGACCGTGGAGGTGGGTGAGGGGATGGATGCATGAGGGATTGCATGAATGGGTGAGTAGGTTGAGTAAGGAGTGTGGCAGGGAGGGGGCGCCTGGTGGTGAGCATGAGGGACAAGGGCGGAGCCACAGCTCTGTTTCTTGCCGCAGAGGCTGGGGACGCATGGACTGTAGAGGTGGGTGGGTGGGGGATGTGAGTGCATGGGTGCGGGGAGAATGGGGGGACAAGGGCGGAGCGACGGCTCTGTTTCTCGCAGCAGAGGCTGGTGATGCGTGGACTGTGGAGGTGGGTGGGTGGGTGGGGGGGGGGGGTGTGCATGGAAGGAAGGGACAGCTGGTGGTGAGCATGAGGGACAAGGGCGGAGCCACGGCTCTGTTTCTTGCAGCGGAGGCTGGTGATGCGTGGACTGTGGAGGTGGGTGGGTGGGGGCTGTGTGCATGGGAGGTTGCATGAGTGGGTGCTTGGCTGGTGGTGAACATGAGGGACAAGGGCGGAGCCACGGCTCTGTTTCTTGCCGCGGGGCTGGAGACGCGTGGACTGTAGAGGTGGGTGGGTGGGTGGGTGGTTGGGTGGGTGGGTGGTTGGGTGGGTGGGTGAGCCCAGCAGGGAATGGGCGCAGAAACTACTTTCTACGTCAACTCACTCAAAGGCCGCTTGTGGCTGGTGTGCTGAAAACACGCCTTTCCACTCCCTCCCTACCCCTCTGCCTCTCCCTGTCTCCCTCTCTCTCTCCCTCTCTCCTACAGGTGCTGCTACAAGCAGGCGCGGACATGGCAGTGGGCAACAGGGGCGAGGAGACCCCTCTCTACATCGCCTCCTTTAAAGGCCACCTGTGTGCTGTGTGCTGTTCACACGCCTTTCCACCCCCTCCCCCAGGTGCTGCTGCAAGCAGGCGCGGACATGGCAGTGGGCAACAGGGGCGAGGAGACGCCTCTCTACATCGCCTCACTCAAGGGCCACCTGTGGGTGGTGCGCTGCTCACACGCCCTTACACTCCTGTGCCATGCCTCTCTGTCTCTCGCTGATTCCCTTCCACAGGTGCTGCTGCAAGCAGGCGCGGACATGGCAGTGGGCAACAGGGGCGAGGAGACCCCTCTCTACATCGCCTCACTCAAAGGCCACCTGTGGATGCTGCGCTGCTCAGACACCCACCCTTACACACTCCCCTGCCTCTCTGCCTCTCCATCTCTCTCCCTCCCCCAGGTGCTGCTGCAAGCAGGGGCGGACATGGCAGTGGGCAACAGGGGCGAGGAGACGCCTCTCTACATCGCCTCACTCATCAGCACCCCCTGTGGGTGCTGCGCTGCTCAGACACCCACCCTTACACACTCCCCTGCCTCTCTGCCTCTCCATCTCTCTCCCTCCCCCAGGTGCTGCTGCAAGCAGGGGCGGACATGGCAGTGGGCAACAGGGGCGAGGAGACGCCTCTTTACATCGCCTCACTCAAGGGCCACCTCTGGGTGGTGCGGCGGCTGCTGGGGCACTGCAGGAGGAGAGGGATTGACTGGCAGGCAGATGCGAGCTTGGCAGGGGAGGTGAGATGAGAGGGGTTGAGAGGGGTGGGGAGGTGAGGGGTGTGGGGATTCACCCCTTGACTGGTGGTCAAGGGGCCACCTGTGGGTGGTGCGACGGCTGCTGGGGCACTGCAGGAGGAGAGGGCTGGACTGGCAGGCAGATGCGAGTCTCCACAGGGGAGGTGAGATGCGAGGGGTTGAGAGGGGTGGGGAGGTGTGGGGTGTGGGGATTCACCCCTTGACTGGTGGTCAAGGGGCCACCTGTGGGTGGTGCGGCGGCTGCTGGGGCACTGCAGGAGGGTGGACTGGCGAATTTTGAGGCGCCTCAAAATTCACCTCACTCGTTTCCTGTTTCGTTTCCTTTTGTTGCTTTAAGCGTCACTCTTTAGAATTGGTGCTCTTCCACTATGAGCGAAGACGGCTGCTGGGGGGCTGCAGGAGGGTGGACTGGCAGGCAGATGCGAGCACGCACAGGGGAGGTGAGATGCGAGGGGTGGGATGTGGGGATCTTTGTTCTCATTCTCAATCTCTCCCTTTTTCCACTTCTCTCCCAGGCTCCGGGTGGACACCCCTCATGGCAGCAGCACTGTCCAACCACACCCACGTGCTGCACACACTGCTGACTCACCATGTACACACCCACCAATCTCACGACGACACATCATCACCCGCCTTGATCAACAAGCAGAACGCATACGGCCTAACAGCATTGCACATAGCAGCGCGGTACGGGTCCTTGGATTGCATTCAAGCGCTGCTGGCAGCAGGTGCGTGTGCTGCCGTGCCGGACCTGTATGGGGAGCGGCCGTCGGGCCTGGCGAAGAGGTTCGGGCATTCCGAAGCTGTTCAGATGCTGCTGGTGGCGGAAGGGGAGATGGGGGTGGGTGGGGGGGAGGATGGGGGTAATGGGGGCAAGGGGAGCAATGGGGGAAAGGATGGCAGGGGTGGCAAGGGGAAGGGGGCAAGAAGGAAGGGGAGGAAGGCCAAGGGCATCGAGGAGAATTGATGCATGGTTTGGCTTTACGGCCCTGTTTTTGTCAAGCTGACAGGCCGGCTAGCAGAATGTGGTGTGGATTGAAGAATCCTGTCCAAACCCTTAAAGATTCTGTACAAATTATTGTGTTTTACAAACCAGGTAACTGAGAGACACAGCTGGTGCACTCCTTGCCTTCCAAAAATAAATGTGTTTTGTTACAACAGAATTACATGCTAGAGGACCCTAAAGACCCCGTAATACATGCTAAATGGTGAGATGTGCCCTAAAAGCCGACTTATTTGTGTCTGTCTGTGCGACACATTCCCTGGTCGCATGTGTCGTCCAAGCGACACTGTATAACGTCCGTCTCGGACGATTCTTTATTTTCCTTTGGCTGCCCCTCACGTCTTCAGGTTCGTCCGTCTGATGAGCCTGCAGCGGGAAATCTGCTTCGTTACATGTCTGGCGGAAGCATGATGGACGTGATGCCGTGGACGATAGTGTTACGCCCTCGCTGCAGGTCGCCTGTTACAATCGTCGTCGGGATAAACCCCCTCCCTTTCAGCTGCACGATAAGCTTCGTGTTCTTTCGCGAAACCTTCGTGATCATACCGCCTTCGTAGGTCGGGAGCTTCGATTGAGGCGGCATCGCTTTAAGCTCCATGAAGTCGTACAACCCCTTAGCGATATGAAATCTGAAAATCTTCATCGCCACGGCGCGCGGGTACGATTGCATGGTCACGCGAATCATTCCCGTGTCGACTGGCATGAAAATGGTTCGCTTCTTCTTGATCAGTCGAAAGCCGCCTCCTTTGCCCTTTTTGGGCGGCTTGGGGAACGTGGGAAACGCCTCTGCAAAGAAAAAAACAAAAGCAAACGGGCAGCGTTGATGACGGGATTCGTGGGAACGGGAAAGGGGAAGAGAAGGGAAGATGAAGAAATCATGAGAAGGACGTATGGACGAACAATTGAGAGCCAATACAGGAAGGAAGCGACGGGACCATGAATTGTAAGGGATTAGGTTGATGAGGTGTTGCGATGGAGACACTAAGGAACTAGGGAACAAGACAGAACTTCTCCTTGGGTCCAAGAATGAAGTAGCCACTGAAATGGCGTCGAGCGAGTCGACATTCCCACACAGCCAGAGCTGGTGGAGAAAGAAGACGAGTATGCAGCGGCTGAGAATACCACCCGTTCACATGCATCGCCCTTTGTGAGCGAGGTGAGCTTTGAGAATACAGTGATTGGGAGTGAGAACCCATGAGTCGACTCACAACTCACCTCAACAAAATAGAGTTTGTAATCAGCACTCATTTCCTGGAATGTGGGTCTCTTCTGCGCGGCTACAAGCCGACTCACCATGCTGTCATAAGCTGACTCACTGTCGACACGAGCTGGTTAGTGAAGTAGATGTAACTTCCGAGCTATTTAATAGGCGCCTCGGTACTGTAAGTTCGCTTAGACACCTAAATTAATATAAGGCCACTCACTGTGCCCTGATAAGCTGACTCACGTGACGACAAGAGTTGGTTAGCGAAGAAGCTGTAGTTCCCCATCTTCGCGACCTCTTGCAGAACCTCTAATAAGTCGTCATCGTCGTCTTCGCCTTCATCCTCGATACTAGCATTTTGAGGCGTCTTAGCACCGCCGGGTGCGGCGCCACCGCGGAGAGGCCCGCCGGGGCTGCCGCTACCACTGGTGCCACTGCTGCTAGCAGCGGGGAGCAGTGCCGAAGAGAGCAGAGCTACGAGGCAGAGAAGTAGCGCGTGCCTGATTGGGATTCGCATGGTAACCGTTTGGATGGCACTCGTGCTTTTTTTTAGGACAAGTTAGAGGTGCGCTGTTTACGCGAAGGGAATATTTTTTTGGAGGCAACGAGGCGAAAAAAGGTTAGCAACCGGCAGGCGATTAAATAAGGTCTGACAGCGTACGCGTTGTTGCAATATACTATCTTCAAGCTGTGCTACTCGTTTCAAACTCCCTTTCACGATGTCACACCGTAAGCTAATCTCTAGGGCTTCAAGATATATTGCCGCAAAAGGGATCCGACTTGTTCAGCGCGTCCTTCCGTCGAGCGAAGCGTAAATGTCGGTCTTACAACAAAACCGTCGGCTTTTGATGAGAAGGCCTGTCGGCAGCAGCGACAGAGATGGGCCAAGCGCTGTCTGGACGGTATGCGGGGCCTTCTGCCTTCGAACGGACTGCGGGAAGAATTTCATGCATGTATGATGGCACTTGATGGGCCCGTGAAATCTGGAAATGCTAAATGCGCACTTGCTTGCTGTAGACAGGTCAGGTGTGGTGTACGTGACATACTCAAAATCAAGTTGTAGGGTGCACTGGTTGTGAGAGGGGGAAGGAGAGGGGCGTGGGAAAAAAGGCGCGCACAATTGTCAATGTTGAAAAGTGAATCCGAATCTGCGCAGTCGGGTCGCATGTTGCGCCCTTCCTAATGCATAGCCGAGCCGCGATGTCGGTTGTCGCGAAGCCCGTTCATCAGGTTGGGCGATGGTGACTTGTTTCGCCAATGTGTCTATCCCTTGTCCAGCTTGTTACGATGCGCCACGTGTTAGCTGTCAGGCTGAAAGCACGTCCCTCGCATTAGATTCGACTGCATAATTACCCCCATAACGTTTTCTGTCAGGTATACACTATTTGCATAAAGCCATAGGGTGTAATCACACTTGATTTCTATTCAGAGAATCATTACAGCATTAAATGCATTCGTTAACGAAGCTCATCCTGGTTAAGGAATGTTGCGATCAGAAGTTGATCACCCTCAGGATCACCTCAGGAAGGTTCGCACAGTCCTAATCTAGTGGTGGGCCCTTGACCTCAATTGCAGAGTGAATGTAAATGCTTGAGATGATAAAAACATGCAGTACAAGGAATATAAATCAGATTACAAGGGAATACCAATCGACCTAGCTAGCCATGTACTCTAAGGGGTACATTCTCTTATTGCAGCGAAATCCAACCGTGCGACTCCAGACAGTTACGAAACTGTTCGGACAGAATCCTCGCCACTGCTGCTGCCTGATGCTGTCTGCCAGACGGTCCAGATCCTTTCGTAACCGTGTGACTCTTCGTGTCACTTCCGCCTGTCTGTCTTCATTCTCGGTAGTACGTGTTTCGATTGCTGCGGTGAGGAGTGTACAGTAGTGTTTCAACAATCACTATTCGTAACACCCCCCTTCACTCCTGGCCGTAGCGAGTCTTGACCCGGTTGACTACCCCGCCGAGTTCGGAGCAGTGCTGGTACTGCTGTCGTGGCAGCTTCTTCGTGAGGAAGTCAGCTGCCATGTCACCCGTCGGGCAGTAGGTTAGGTCAACCTTGCCCTTGTCAACTTCGTCCTTGACAAAGAAGTACCGCAGCGCGATGTGTTTGGTCCGATTGACGAATCCCGGCTTGTTCGCGATCCTGATCGCGCTCTGGTTGTCGCAGTGTAGGCGAAAGTTCGCCGAGGCTGGAATTTTCGCCTCCTGCAGCAGCTCCTGAAGGTAGAGGCCCTCGCGAACGGCTGCTGTTGCTGCGATGAATTCGGCCTCCGCTGATGACAGGGCAACCAGCTCCTGTTTCTGTGAATTCCAGGAGATGGGGCCGCTGGGCTCGAGACGGAAAAGGAAGCCTGTCCTGGACCGTCGATTGTCAGGGTCAGCGGCGTGATCGGCGTCCACGTAGCCGATGAGGTTGAAGGATGAAGTTGGAATGGTGGAGTAGCAGAGCCCGATGCTGGGCGTGGAGATGAAGAACTGGAGCGCCCGCTGGAGATCTAGTAGATTCTCAGCCGTTGGTTTTCGAGAGTACTGAGCCAACTGGCTCGCGATGTAGGAAAGGTCGGGCCTGCAGGTAACAGATGCAAAGAGCAGGCATCCCAACTGCTGCTGGTAGGTGTGAAGCCCAGCAGGGGACATGGCTTTGTTGTCAGGCTTGTGGTTGGGTCCTGGAGTGCGATAAGGGGTGGAGAGTGGTGCAGGTGCAATGTTGAAGCGCTTGCTAAGCTCCTCTGCATACTTCGATGCTGAGAGATGAATGGCTTCCGACGAGTAAGTGATGTTGAGCCCGAGAAACTGCTTCACGTCATGATTGCAGGTGATGTCGACGCGCCCTGCGAGGTTTTTCTCGAATTGCTCAAGCAGCTCGTTGCTTGACCTTGTGTAGAGGAGGTCGTCGACGTAGACCGTGAGTAGGATGTATTCGTCGCGGAAATCGCGGCGATACATCCCAGGATCGTGAGGCAGCTGCTTGAACCCGATTTCAAGCAGTATGTTGTGCAGGTACTGCTGCCAGAGTCTCGGCGCCTGTTTAATCTCGTAAAGGGATTTCCGCAGCTGGCAGACCCGCGAATATCCTTCGCCGTATGTGTGCGGCTGCTCCACGTAGATCACTGCGTCTACGAGCGCATACAGGAATGCGTTCTTAACATCGATCTGTCGGAGCGGCAGATGTCGTGCGGCTGCGATGGCGAGGAGTATCCTGACGGATGTGTGACGGCTCACCGGCGCAAACGTTTGATCGAAGCCAATCACGTGCCTCTGGTCGTAGCCGCGCACTACCCAGCGCGCCTTGAAGAGCTCGATCGTCCCGTCAGCTCCGGTCTTCACGCGGAAGACCCACTTGCCGGAAAGGATCCTTCTCCCCTTCACTGCTGCACGGTCGACGAGTACCCATGTGTCGCGTGACTCGAGTGCCTTGATCTCCGCATCCATTGCCTCGCGCCACTCCTTGCTGTGAGGTCCCGTGAGTGCTTGTCGTGGGTTCTTAGGCTCGATGACGCGCGGCGTCGTTGAGGTAGCGGCATGGAGCCCGAGGAGTTGCATTCCGGTGACGGTGCTGTCGTGGCGATGCTGCAGGATGACCTCCTGCACATCGTCGTCGTCGCTTTCTGGTTCTGGTGGGGCTGATGGTGCTGCTCCTCCGCCGTTTCCGTGTCAGAAAGAACAAAACAGGAATGAATGAACTAGCAGAGAAATGAGTACAAGTACCTAACCCTAGAATTGTGTACCCACTAAAGGCTAACCCACTGTAG